TTTTTTTAGAGAGAGAAGAAGGGAGAGGGAGGGAGGGAGAGAGAGAAGCATCAATGTGAGAGTGATACATCTATCTGCTGCCTCTCGCACGTCTCCTACCAGGGATCAAGGCAGCAACCTGAGCATGTTTCCTGACCAGGAGCTGAACCAGCAACCTTTTGGTGCACAGGATGACACCCAGCCAGCTGAGCACACCTGCCAGAGTCTCTCTCTCTCTCTTTTTTAAAATTGAGGTGTAATTGGCATATAACATTTGGTTTCAGGTGTACAATGTAATGAATTGATATTTATATATATTGCAAAATGATCACCATAAGTTTAGTTAACATTTGTCACATACATGGTTATAACTTTTTTTCTTGTGATGAGAACTTTTAAGATTTACTCTCTTAGCAGTTTTCCAAGATGCAATATAGTACCATTAACTAGTCAGCATGCTTTACTTTACATTCCCATAATTATTTATTTTGTAACTGGAAATTTATGTCTTTTGTGTCTATTTTTTATTATCCTTTCTCTGGTTTCAGGTACAGTATCTGATACATTATAGGTTCCCTATAAACATTTATTGATGGGAGACTGTATCTGATACATTATAGGTTCCCTATAAACATTTAAGGAAGGAGGGAAGGAAGGAAGGAAGGAAGGAAGGAAGGAAGGAAGGAANTCCTATAAACATTTATTGATGGGAGGAAGGAAGAGAGGGAGGGAGCAAGGATGGAAGGAAGGAAGGAAGGAAGGAAGGAAGGAAGGAAGGAAGGAAGGAAGGAAGGAAGGAAGGAAGGGGGGAGGGAAAGGAAAGGAGGAGGGAAAGGAAAGGAGGAGGAAAAGGAAAGGAGGAGGGAAAGGAAAGGAGGAGGAAAAGGAAAGGAGGAAAGATAGAAAGACTCTCAAGTCTTTATCCTTACGCGCGCCAATGGGTAACTTCCTCTGATACATTTAATCACTAAAATACTCCCTTAATTTGCATTCGTAGACCTTCCAGGTGTTTGTGTGAGTGAGACAGTCCATTTTTCACTGACATAGAGCAGCGAGGACGCAGAAGGTGGGTCACAGGGCAAGAGCCCAGTTTGGTGCCTTGGCCACGGCAGGTATCCCCGGAGTGCGGGCTGAATGACTGAAGGGCGCAGTCACATCTGTCATCATTCTTCTGAAGCAACACATCTGTGTGGCTTAAACCTCCAGAGCCCAGAGATTTGTTACACATTGGTAATTATTTCAAACACTGGAGATTCACGGGGCCTGAGAGATTACTCCTGACTTCAGTGACCTCGGGAGTTCAGTAAACACTGCAAGCTCCTCAGTCAGTGCTGAAAGGCCTGACGGGCCGCAGCAGGCCTTATTTACAGAAACTCTGTTCTGCACTAGCAGTGGGCCTGCCCTTTTCACTGGGAGAGAAGATTCCAGAGATGGTCTGGGGTGATTGCACACCGGTACTCATCCCAGTGGTGAGGACTCACACCAAATTGCTCCGGTCGGTCACCTTTAGAAATGACCATTTTTGTGTGGCTCTTCGGAGAACCTTGAACTGAAAACATAGAAGCTAAAGGGCTACCTATCAATCAGCAATGAGTTTTAAGAACCTACTATGCGCCAATGAGTACATTAATTAGTCTGATGATTAGACTAGAGAAACAAACATAAGGTATAGTCTTTGCTCTTAAGAATGAGGCAAACCACACGGGGGAAATACTGTATAAGAGAATAAAAATAGAAGACTTGACTCAAGTGCCAAATAAGGGAGCACAAGGTCTACAAGAAGGGAAAGCCCACAGGGCACCAAGAGCATCCAGGAAGACTTACCAGAGGAAGCAAGAGTTGAGATGTCTGGGTTTGGAAGTCAGTCCTGCCTGGGGACGCCGTGGTTCAGACACACAGTATTTCACCCCATGTGAAATACACACATGTATTTCCTGTGAAATTATAAACCTCATGACATTATTCATGGGCTGCTCACTCTGCCTAGAATATTTTTCCTCTACTAATTGCCTGGCTAAATCCCTTTCCAAGGTTCAGCTCAAATATGATTTCCTTTCCCAGAGCCTTCCCCTGCTCCCTCGGCACCTTGGCGAACGTCAGTCCCTCCCTGCTCTGCACCGCCACGGCCTTTATATGTGTCTGTAATGCAGGACTAACCACACTGCATTGTAATGAGTTGTTTGTATGTGTTTCCCTGCTCCACATGCCAGACAAGTCATGAGCTCTCAATCGACATTGTTCACATGGGTGGTTGATAAATTAACTGGAGGAGATCTTTCTAACGAGAGAGCAGAGGGAGATCAAGTTAGATGGGACCAGACATTGAAGGACCTTTTAAAAGACAAGCCAAGGGAGGGGGAAGGAAGGAAGGAAGGAAGGAAGAGATATCTTGAAGATTAAAGGGAACATTGGAGCTGGGGTTTTATTTAGATGACCTAGAAAATAAAAGCCCTCTNAGATACCTTGAAGATTAAAGGGAACATTGGAGCTGGGGTTTTATTTAGATGACCTAGAAAATAAAAGCCCTCTATAATCCCACTTCTTAGGGATATCTACTATGAACATAACTTGTATTTCCCAGCAGTTTTCCTATGCACATAAATACACTGGCAAATTTCTCTGCAATTTATGTTCCCCCTTTTCATAGGGGAGAGTATTCAAAAACCTAGTCAAGCAACAAATATTTATTGTGTGCTTAAGAATTGCTGCATTGTGATAAACAAAAAAGGCATTATCCCTGCCTTCCATGGATTTTACAGTATAGTGGATAAGACAGCATCTAAAAAATTATCAATTGTTAAGTAAATGATTAAAACATGCAAAGATTCACCTTCACCATTGCTGTGGATGTTTCAACAGAGGCATGAGATGATGAAAGCAGAATTCAGGATGATTATGTTGGCAGCAGAATAGACTGAAAGGGGTAAACGTTGTGAGGGGCCCAGGCATGGGCGATGGCAATGGGAATGGGGGGGGAAAGTGGAACCAAGATATACGTTAAAGCAAAATTTCTTAATCTGTGGACCATGGATCCATTTTGGGATTCAAGGATAAACTTTAGGATTTTTGAACCCTCAAATTTAAACTTTATGTATTTTTCTATGGACAGTAAGTTTTATAGGTTTCACTAACCTCTGAATGGGAAATATAGCAGAGTACTTGTTTTTTTCTTCAAAGAACAGTGTATTGATTTTTAGAGAGAGGAAGGGGAAGGGGGAGAGAGAGAAACATCGATGTGAGAGCATAACACTGATCAGCTGCCTCTTGCACACCCCCTACCAGGGATTGAACCTGCAACCTGGGCGTGTTCCCTGACCTGGAATCAAACTGGGGACCTTTCCTGAGCAGGGCTCGATGCCNTCCCCTACCAGGGATCGAACCTGCAACCTGGGCATGTGCCCTGACCTGGAATCAAACTGGGGACCTTTCCTGAGCAGGGCTCGATGCCCAGCCAACTGAGCCACACCAGCCAGGGCTAGTAGAATGTTTTAAGATCACTGACATTGAAGTTAGAAAATCTAGGTTCAGACACCATCACTACCACTTACCAGCTTTCAAAATGTAGACAAATTACTTAACCTTCTTGAGATAACAAAGCAACAAAACAACTACACTGTAAAGTGCCTATTACTCAATTTTTTTTATTCTATAGGGGTCTATTACCCCCCCCAAAATAAAAATCAGTACTTTAAAGAAAGAATCGACAAAGCTTGATGTCAGATTGATAATGAGAGGGAGAAAAGAGAAGGGGTAGAACAAAAGGGGCTCCAAGATTTCTGGCTGAGGAGATAAAATGGATTAAGATTTATTATAGGAGCTTGAAGGATCCTATAACATGCTCCCATAGGAGCAAGGCCCTCTGCGCGGCACAGCTTTTAGAATACAAGGAGGGGTCGGAGTATAGATTTGCTTTAGAAATTTTAGATCACTTTGCTGATTATTAAAAATGTTGACCCGTTTTCACTGAATATAGAAGCCGATGTTGGTAGAGTGGGGGAAGAGGGAGGGAGAAGAAAGGTGGGTGGGAGAATGGGGCTGGCCAAGAAACATCTAAGGACCTTCAGATTCTGAGCATCTACAAGGAGACACTACTCCCAAAGCAGCTGACGAAATTCTTACACTTGGCTGGGAGTCAGGGGTGGACCTCAAGACATTGTTTACAAATAACACACATATAGTTGCAGAGACACTGACAAGATTCAAAGAAGTTGTCGAAGATCCTACAACTTAAACATGCTTATCTCATTGCTAGCCCGCACCATCTGTAGTACACTGTGANACTGACAAGATTCAAAGACGTTGTCGAAGATCCTACAACTTAAACATGCTTATCTCATTGCCAGCCCGCACCATCTGTAGTACACAGTGAGTTAATATGTTTATTTTACGGTATTTTTCTTTGTCCTTTAATTTTGAGAAAAATTTAAACTACAGAAACACTGTAAATGGACCATTAAAATTATTTTTGTTATATTTCCTTTATTAATTAATATTTGTATATATCTTTTTAATTATCTTACAAATAATGNTAGCCCGCACCATCTGTAGTACACTGTGAGTTAATATATTTATTTTACGGTATTTTTCTTTGTCCTTTAATTTTGAGAAAAATTTAAACTATAGAANCAGCCCGCACCATCTGTAGTACACAGTGAGTTAATATGTTTATTTTACGGTATTTTTCTTTGTCCTTTAATTTTGAGAAAAATTTAAACTACAGAAACACTGTAAATGGACCATTAAAATTATTTTTGTTATATTTCNACTATAGAAACACTGTAAATGGACCATTAAAATTATTTTTGTTATATTTCCTTTATTAATTAATATTTGTATATATCTTTTTAATTATCTTACAAATAATGCAGAAGCCACACAAAAATGGAAATGACCTGAGTCTCTCTTGTTTTCTAAGCAATCGTAGAGATCTGCTGAACCACTGTGATAAATGTAGTGGGGGGGACGCATAGGGAGAGGAGAGCACAGCATTTTCCAAGGACTCCAAGAGAATTTCTGCTTTAGTCATACCTTGAAAATTGTTTTTAAAAATGAAGGTTATTTCCATTTACCACTGAGCAAATGTTTGTTTTCAAGACAGATCACAAGTGCTTTTTGAGACTCTTTTATTTATTTGCCTGGGAACTTGGGGAAATAAAAAGAAATTAAGTTATATGGTTTTCTATTCTCAAGCTTCTAATCTTGCTGCGGCATCAAGATTTATATCTAGAAAATGATTGGGAAAGAAAAGTAGATAAATCCTGGAAGTCTCTCAGAATGCTATTTTAGTGGTTCTTTTCTTTAACGGTCAAAGAGGATAGTTTGTAATAACATCTTTAATTATTTAAAGCCCAAACCATATCTTCCAGGCTTATGATGCTAAATGCATCCCATTTCATGCAGAAATGGCATCTTCCTGAACAATGTGTAAAACACTAAGCGAATACCATGTTGATTGTCCATTTAGGAGAAAAGATGGTTCCTTGCATCCACAGTTACCAGGACCAGTGTTATGTGACCCTATTACCTGGCCAAAACAGATTGATCCAGAAATCCTGTCAAAAGTAATTGTCAGGAGCTGAATGTAGTAATAAAAGCTAAATATTTAATGAGCACGTTTTGTGAGTCAAACACTATGCTGAGGCCTTCACTTGGTTGTTTTATTTAAACTTCACAACAGTTCTATGAGTTTGGCAGGAATATTATCAAATGCATCTGAATAAGAATACACATGTAGTCCTGACAGGATGCAAAAGTTCTCAGTAATCACCCATGACCAGCCCACATCACAGAGGTTTCGTAACAGGTCACATGTCACTGGCTGGTAATTGGAGTTGCTGGGGCTTGAACCCAGGGTCTTTCTTTCTGTCTGACTCTAGAGTAATTACTTTTAAGTCTCTGTGGGTACCTCATTCACTTAATAAGGGTGCTCCAAACTGGGTGGCTACGATTCAATCAAATCCTCTCCCTCTGAAGTGCATGTTGAATGTGGCACTTACAGAGAGAAAGGATGGAAGCAACAGAAATATAAAAGAAGTAAAGATAGAAGAGGCTTAGGAGACCAGTTGTTAGCAGGAACCAGGAAGGGTGAGATGATGGCTATGTCACTAGGACTAAGGCGAGGTCACAGAAATGTGGAAACACTGACCCTGAGAGAGATTCAACATTCCAGCTCTCGTTAGGCCAGACTTGTAACATTTCCGCTCTGGCCCTTGCTTCCCGAGCAAACCT